GGGTTACACTGTATTAAAATTTATTTCTTAAAGTAGAACAATTTTTTAACAATGGGTAATTAGTGCATAATTTTAAGTCAATAGTGAGTAGGTTACTGACTTAGGATTAGGTTTATTACATTTTAAATTAAATATAATAATTTATCTAATTAATTTAGATTAATTTAAATAATCTTTATTATAGATTATTTATTGATTGTGTTATTAATCTAGTACAAGGTCATGGATGTTGGTTATCATTTGATAATTGAACTCACTACACTTTGTCCTTGTGATGAGCTAAAAAATCCATGCTATGTTATAGTGGTATAAATGGTATTTATAATGCTACTGTACCAGTTTGTCATGTATTTAATTAGTTTAATTATTTTATTCCTTTATAAATAGAACTATATGTCATAAGTCAAGAAATGAGAACCTTTTGCAAATTGAAATATTATATATATTATTAAAAAATCCAATCTGAGAGTGAAACTTAGAAAAGCCTTTGAGAGTGAAACAGAAAGAGTGAGAGATATAGAGAGTAAAACAAAAAGAGAAAGTAAGAGAAAGTGTGTAAAACAGAAAGAGAGTGTGACACAGAGACAAAGTGTGAGGGTGGTCATCTTAGAGAAATGAAGTTGTTTCTAGTGAAGGGTTAAATCATGTTTCAACACCTGACGATCACTTGTGGAAAAATTCCAATAAAATCATTATGTCATCTGCAAAGTAAGTACAAAAAAAAGCTATTGATGTTGATTATCACTTGTCAAAACTAACTCATTTGCTGTACTAGGTTTGAGGCATAGCATTGACTCAGGATTAATATACAAGTGTCAGTCTGGCCCCCAACCTGATCAGCCCCATACACCTAAAGAAGGCCTGACAAGGAGTAAATCTCTTTTGAAATACAAAGAAAGGAGTTCCAAGGGAAATGTTTTATCCGAATTGGCCAAAAAGTACACCCTGTTGTACATCCTACCCACCAAAAAACTCTAGCTCTACACCAAAAGCTCTCTGAAGAACTGGCATGGATGAAAGATATAGGCATCATTAAGAAGGTCACAAGACTGACACAGTGGGTGAACTCCCTAGTACTTGTGGAGAAAAAAAAGGCAAACATAAGGTTATTCAAACAAAGGCCATACTGCCCAAATGGCCTTTGAGAGTAAAGGCAAACCTGACTTCAAACCAAAAACATGCCCTTACCTACATTGACCCTTCCAAACCAACAACACTTCAAGTTGACACCTCTAAAAATGGCTTAGGTGTCACACTCCTACAGGAGAGCATCCCAATCATGTATGCATCAAAATCACTCACACAAAGTGAGTGAAACTATGCACAGATTGAGTCAGAACTTTTTGCCATCCTGTTTGGGTACAAAAGATTCCACCATTACATATATGGCTGCAACATCATTATAGAGTTTGACCACAAGCCCCTAGTGCTGATACTCAAAAAGCATCTTCATTCTGCTCCTCCTCAATTACAGAGGTTGCTACTCCAGCTAGGCAACTACAACCTTGAGATCTTACATGTCCCAGGAAACAAGATACCTGTAGCTGATGCCCTATCAAGAAAGTTTCTGCCAAATCTCTACCAGGAGAATGGAGAACCACATACACAGCCTAATGAAGTGTCTACCAGTCTCTAATCAAAAGATAGAGGATAAAACTGCTATCCAACATGGCACAGGACTCCAAGCCTCATTAGGGTTATCCAAGATGAGTGGCCTGAGAAAAGGAAATCATGTCACCCCCAGGTTATAGAATACTGGAACCACTGTGATGAAATGGGAATCATGAAAGATTCTTTTCAAAAATTGGGTAAGGCATCAAAAATGTTGTTAAAAACAAAGAAAAGTGAGAGACATAAATGTTCAGGTTCTGAAAATGCATGGCACATAAAGAGATAAAAATGAAATTTCTTCTAATATTGCATATTTCTTCTAATATTGCATAAAATGTTTTTTGTATCTCATGGTCATAATATTGCTTCTTACAAGGATTTTTAATTTTATTAGGATTTTAATGTAAGACTGCTAAAAATAATTTCAAAAAGTGTTAAAATAAGTTTTTTAATTATTTATTCAATATATTCCCCTCAGCCATTTATATACTTTTAATAGTAGATCATCAATTCCTATAAGGAATTCATCATTCAAGAAACCATTAAATTGTTTTTTCAATTTGATCCAGTCTACAAAAGTTCATGCCTGTAAATAAGTGTTTTAGATGCTTGAGGAAATGGTAACACATAGGAGAAAAGCTGTGTAAATAGGCAATAATTCTTTAATCATCAAATGATTCAATATTAGTAACATCATTTTTACTACATAAAGTTGGATATGAGCATGCAGTTAAGTGACACCCTTTTTCTTACACTAGGTATACTTTGAATTTTGACTGCTTTGAATTTTCAAATAGGCACACACATACACACACACACATTGTTCAGCTAGATTGAAGGTATTGCAACCATAACAGCAGTAGTGTGTCTAGGACAAGGTAGCCTGACAGAGCAAACCTTCAGGATAGTTTTGAATTCAGAATTTTCCTTCTCCTAGACTGGTTGCCACATCAAGGCAACCCTGTTATTTAATCCATAGCTGGGGGAGAAGAGATAGATTCATACCTGTCCCAAGGGTATTTGTGTGAAAGAGAACATAAGAAACTCATTAGAAACTTTCAGAGTCATTACCAGCATATCCATTGCAAGTGAAATTATGGTGCAAAAATAAATCAATTCTGTAATGTTGAAAAAAATTAATGCTGATTATGATACATCTCATTTTTTCTTTCCCATTCACTGAACTGTGTTTGTGTGTGTGAATCACTTAGAATTGATTGGAAATGGTTCTTATTGATATACTGAAGTTTGTCTAAGTTCTCTAAAAGTTTGGGATCATTTTGTCATATGCTGCTGCAATTTGATCAATTTCTGATTGACTCTACATGTTGTCTGGATGTGTATGATAAGAAAGCAAAGCTCAAAATAAAAATGTTGTTTTTTGCATTACATCTGGTCCACAAATCAAATCTCGCAATAAAAATACACTAGCCAATCAGAAACATCCCCAGCGGAAAAAGATGACCTTGGGTCTACCAGATTTGCTAAAAGAAAACCACTCATAAATGACTGACACAGTAGCAGGCTGAAAAGGCCACCTCTTGACATGCATGCACACTGTTGCTGTCACCGCCATGATCATGACCCTGTCTTATTGATACCAAATTCAACCAGGATCCAATTGAGACTTTCAGCTCGATCAACAACCTTCACTATCCATTCCATGCCTCCCTAATCACCACCTCAGTAAGCTTGGCAACCAACCTGCCAACACATCTTACCACAAATCAACCCACCAATGTGACCTTGATCAGTCAACTCACTGAATGCACCATGTATCATCCCTGCCAGCAAATTCAACACTGGCATCTTCACATGACTGCCAGCCCATCAAACACCTCACTGGTGTTCATTTCAACCATGAAGAAGGGTATACATCAAACCCCACCAATGACTAATCTGCTCCAGACAAATCTTCTAATACATACCATGACCTTGACTAACAGACCCAAGAAATTGGTCATATCCTGGGAATGCTGACAACATTCTTACACCTAATTCCTTTCTGCTACTTTTCAAACAACTACGATGCACATATTCCGAAATTTGATGAATACACACTGCTAAAATTTTTAATCCTTTATTTGTTCATTTCCTTTACAACCAAATGCTCATTATAACAATTTTCTACCTGGGTTTTCAAATCTTAATGGTTTTGTTGACTGACCTTTTTCCAATTGGAATTGTTGGAGTTGTTGGAATCCAAATCATTTTTTCCCTTGCAGCTTCAACTCTAATACATCCTGGGCTCTTCCCCTTATTTGCTTATATCAATAGAAATAAATGGAATTACATTTTTTACTAAATAATCAAGAAATAATATAAAAAATAATTTTTTATTATTTTAAAAGTAAAGTCTTGAAAAATAATTGTTTGTAAAGATATAATCACAAAAGTTTATTATTATTTTCTTTTAATGCCCTGTCCGAACAGATTATTGTTCTTTACAGATTCCTTTTTCTCCCTATTTATTTTTTAATTATTGTGGTGTGGTTTCCTGTTGCCTTCTATACGGTTTTGAATTTATGTCTCTCTCCTTGTAATGGCTGTCACACAAAGCTAGAGAGCCTTATACTCTGATAATATAATTAAGCCATATTTGGGTTCTGTACAAGAAATTGTCATGCTTTTCGCATGTGAACGAAACAGACTAAGATCGAACTCTCTTGGCTTAGCTGATTTCACTTTCCACGCCGATAACTGTTGTAACACTAACAATCCTACTTACTTGCACATTGAAAATTTTATTATCTGGAAAAAAATTGAAATTATCGTTACAAAAAATGTTATTTCAAAAAGAAAGAAAACCAGTCAACGTGAAAACGTTGACTTTATTGAGCTTAAAACAAAATTGGCAATTTTATATTTTTTTGCTTTAGCGTGCCGGATTCCCCATTTTTTTATCACCAGCCCATATTTATATTTATTTACTACTGTCCAATTCATAAAAACCCGAATTATGATTGGCCAACTAAAACCCTATCCAACCTTTATATTTTAATTTTAAGCACTCTTCTTATGGGCCATCTAACGCTTACAAATTTAGATAAATAGGAGTAGTGTTGGCAAAAACCGTTGTTTTGCTACAGAAGAATAGGGTGGTAGGGGGTCTTTCTTTAAGCATTTATTGTACTTAGGGATGTTATTGTTACACAGTAATGTGAATATACGAACAACACCTTTTACGTTTGTCAACCGCAGAGCGCTTACATTTGCTCAAAACTTGTTTTTATTTTCCTTCGATAATTTACTGGACTTTCTGGATTTTGTAAAAAAAAAGGCACACACTACTACTGGGTTTAAAAAAAGAATCTCATCACCACTGTAGTCAATTCCCCGTGTCTTTGTAGAGCTGGCGCACACAGAATTCAAATTAGTTTGATTTGAAAATGAGAGAAATCTCAGTTTTTCCCGCTATACTTTGGGGATTAGTTATATTTTTTGAACCTGCTGTCACCCAAGGTAAGGGTTTGGATAAGATACTGTTTAAAAAAAAAAGTTCTGTGAAAGCACAATGAGAGTCGATGCTTAAAACTTAAACACATTTGTTTTTTTTTTTCTCTTCTTCATTTTATTTTTATTTTTTCTTCAAAAATTTAATTTTTTATTCAATTGTACTTTTTTTCCGGGTGAATTTAATTTTTTTTAACTTTTAAGAAAAATTAGCGTCTGATATATGCTTCACTTGTAGCACTTTTTTTTTTTATCTTTTATTTTTTTAACTTGCCCTTTAATTGAATTTTTTTAACTTTTTTTTTAAAACTAGCACTAGCATAATGCTTCATCTCTCCTCGCCTCCTGGTGCAACACGTTTTCTTCCCACCACAATTTTTAGTTTCATGCATCACTCAGTTAAAAAAGCTGTTTTACAGTTTGCTTTGCTTAGCTTAATCATTATTAAAATTTAATGCAATTAAAGCCACTGATTATTATTATTTTGTTTAGGATCATTAAATTTTTTGTTTTTTGTCCCAGAAAAGGTTACAGAAACACTATAAAATATTTAATTAATTTTAAATTTAAAACGTTATTTGTTGCGTGAGTAAATTAGGATTTTATTTATTTTTTCAACGCAACCGTGAATGATTCAAATGTAATTATCAACATGACTGTTTGAGTTTTAAACAAAGAAACTACGCAGGGACATCGAAAAGTAATTCATACAATCTGATGCCAGGAAAAACAGTAGTAAAAAAAAACTGAGTTTTTAAATTTCTTTTCATTGAATTATAATGAATAGAGAATTATATTATAGAAATTATAGAAAATCTTATTTTTAAAATGTTATTTTTAGTGGTACTCATATTTGCGTACACGTCCCATATTTCTTAAACTAAACAATACTTTATTTTCTTCTACTGGCCTGAATATTCTAGAAATCTTAAAAAGAAAAATACGTCCCCCGGCAGGATTCGAACCTGCTTATGTGGCAAATATTTAGTCAAAAACGTTTTTCGAAAAAAAAAAAAAATTTCACTAAGTTTCACACTGTAATTCAAGTAGTATTCTGAACTTATGTGCTTTAAGCGCTTTGACGTGATGTATGGTTAACATAACAAGCTTGTCTCAATGAATCACTGTGAATCAGTTTACGATACGATTGAGTAGTAAGTTCGATTCTTACTAGGTGCTCCTTAATCACGCCCTTGTGCCACGTCTAAGCTGTGATATCACTACCAATGTGCTTCTGGGGGATTCACCTTATGTTGATCGGTTATTATCGCAGAGCATAACAGTTCTCAGATGCTATATAAAAAGCCAAGATCTCGCATTATTGATTTATTGAATATTTTTTTTATTCCTAACAACTTAAAGATTATCTCACAACGAATGTCTTTTTTTACTTTACTAAACTTTTTGCACTTTAACTGCTTTTTTTAAATTCAAAAACATCTGTTGAAAAATCTCTTCGTCTTAATTTAAGAAATTATTAAGAAAATTGTGCTATCTTTTTTTTGTTTTTACTTTCAGTTTAACAATTAAGCTCCTGATTTGTATAAAAAAATAAAAAAACTATTGCCTTTTATTTTTTCTAAATCAAAACTTAAAATTACAATTAATGAAATATTATTTGCATGCACGCTAGGTATACCGACAAAAAAATGTTCTGAGTATTTCATTGTCCCATTTTTCAAATGGGAGCTTGTTTGAAATTATGCAACTTATTTTCAGTTGCGACAGCATTTCTAAAACTGCAGTCAGCTTGATCTGAAAGCAACGAGGAGAAATGCTTACTTTTTTTCCAGTTACACAAGAAGATAATTTTAAATTTAACCACATGGCTGATATACTGGCTGGTCCGAAAGTTTTGTCACCTCCTACCAAAAAGTAATGACAACAATAGAAGAACAAATAATACAGTAATTAATACAAAGCACATGTACTGGATTCAGTTTATTCACTTTCATTGACACTGTCCACACATATCGAGAAGGTCTTGAACACCATCTTCGTGGCACAAAATTTTAAAATGATGCGGCGTCATGTCCTGTGTGATATTTTTGCTTTGTTAATTATTGCAAAGGCTCTCCGAACGGCACCCTTCAAATGATGTGTATTCTGGTATCGTTCATGTGAAACTCTCTCCTTGAAATACCTCACAGAGCGTTGCAATTGAAATCTTGTGTAGGGGTGACGAAACTTTCGGACCACCCTGTACATTGTTTGGTTCGTTCGTAAGATGGATGACTTCCACTCTCGATATTGAGACGTAGGTTATTTTACCACCATCAGGTGGTAAAATAACCTACGATTATGATTTCGGAAATTCGTCCTTTTAGATATTTACGTCTGAAAAAGAAAAGCTTTTTTTTTTATTATAAAGGACATGTGCAGGTAGTTTTTCTCTTAGTTTAAAAATAAATTTATGAACAAATAAAAAATTGTAAGCGAGATGGAAACGTAAGAAAAGTTTATTTTGAAATCGTTCGTGAAAAAACGTGCTACAAAAATAAAACAAGAGTCAATTATCAGTGAAATATGAAACTCAATATTTTTTTGTTTTTAAATCAAATATTGTAGGAAATACATTATTACATTTTTACACAAATGTACATAATTTTCCTGCTTGTGTGTTTTACAGCTAAAAAGTATTTTAAAACTCTAGAAATTTAATTTTTGAGTTTTCAAATGGACAGTTAGTCACTTAGTGCAGTGGCTAAAAAGATGGAATGGACTAAAAAGGGTATAATTTGGAATAAAGTAGTCAAATTCTTTTTAAAAAACTTGTTTTTCCCCCCACGTTAACCAATGAACATTTGTTTAAAAAATATAAAAATAAACAGGAAATAAAATAATGTCGCATTTTCATTTTTAGCTTTCATTTAAAATGCTATTTTGTTTGGCAATTCTCATTTATTATTCGTCTTCTTATTGTTTATCACAATACTCGCGCTAGAGACCAATAAACTACAAGTGCAAACAATGTATTGTATTGTAGTGAAATTATTGAAATAACGAGGCATAGTTTATGTTGAACCACCAGCGCAAATGTGTAAGCGTATTTTATGATTGGCTGTGCGAAGGAAGGTCTTCCAGACTCCCACCTTTTGTTTCAGTATGGTTAGCTAGCAAAGTATACAGTGAGGTATTACTACATTGTTGATACTTAGCTGGCCTGTGCTGGTGGTATCACGGCTACGACTAGCTTGGGCCGGCTCTGACCAGCAAAGACCAGCGGCCCGAGTGTAAACACTCGGATCCCCACGTTAAAAACTGACCTTGTGTCATAACCTGACTCAGTTTGGGGAGGGGGGCAAGTAACTCTCTACTTACTACAAAAACATTGTTTGCAGGAGAGAGTGGCAGCCGGGGAAATCTTCAACCTTAACAGAACTGCCTTTTTTTCTGCTTTATTATACGAGTTCGTTTACCTGATAGATCTTGAACCACCATGGAATGAGTGTCCCCTTCACCACATTAATTTAACTTAGATTAGGAAACCAAACTGATGGGAAGAAAAAAGTGTAAGCCAAAGACATCATTACACATAAAATTTGTATTTAACAAGATGTACAAACAAGGATGTGAAAGAAAGGCATGCATTGAGTGAAACAAGAGTTGTCTCTTAACTATTGTGTTCCAAAGTTCACTGAAAGAAAGATTGTGATAGTTTCTGGTAATAAATGTTTTCAACAGTTTTGCTGTGTAAGGAAAAAGATTGTGAGTGTAGAGAATATTCAGCATGTGAGTGAGAAGATTGGTGCATGGTTTCAACTGTCGTGGATTTCTTTAGCAGCTGAAATCTCACTAATTATCTAAGAATACTTCTTGCTTATATAGGTGATCATTGGCTCTGAAGCGCTGCACAGGAAGAATCATTCTTCATCTGCAGACAATCTGATTGGTTGGCATTGACCAATCAGTGAGCGAGCTTTGGGGAGACTCATGAAAGCTTCTGGGATCCAATTCTCCCAAAAGTACATGAAATCGACTACATGAAAATATAGTGATTATAAAATTGTCGCATAGCTGCAATTTATGAATTGTCCATTACACAGTAGTGTTGATTTATTATCCAATGAATGCTTATTGTTGTATAATTTGAATTTGGGTTGTAAAATTTGTTTGTGTGTGATGATAATCATCACAACTAGATTTGATTAGCCTGCATCAGACAGTTGGCTGTTTCTCAGTCCAGTTTTGATACTAGTGGATATTGCTAAAGTAGATGAAGTTCTGGACCACTGCCACCTCTGTCAGGAAAATACTGATGGAAGGTTAGTGATACGTTTGGTGATTAATGACCATCTTTTTAAAACTCCTATGCCAAAGATTTTTGTGGCTTTTGCAAACATTTTGTCTTGCCTTTATGTTGATCCCCCATTTATATGCTATAATGTAGAAGTGTAGTTGATTTTATGTTTAATAGTTTTCTGAAAAAAAAGATACAGCAAATTGCCCAAACCATAGTTAATTTCAATAAAGCTTGTCTGTTCTGGTTCTCAAAAATGAAACTAGTAAAACTATTTCTGATAAGTTAACCAGTCTCACTGAAAATATTGCACTGATAATCAACTGATAGTTTGCAAGCTGGGAAAACTGAAATGTGGATAGAACAAATTAAGTAAATACTCAAAAATATAAAAAGTGTAGTACAACAAGGATGTATTTTCTCACTGGGTCTATTTAAATTATGTAGCAAAATGATTCTAAGAGGATGACAATACATGCTAGGTTTAATTACACGAGTCAACAAAACAAAATATTTTTTTTATCATCATCAGAGTTGAAAGATTACGTTTCTTGGTAAATTTTTCACGTTGATTATGAATCTGAAGTCGGTTTTTCTCTGAGGCCGCATTTTTATGTTGCTGATACCTGTAGTTTTCATGTTTGGTTATGTAATTCATGTGCTTGTAAGCAGTTGCAAGTGCAAGACTCTCATGCCCCCTACCAAAATCTATGATACAGTACCCTTGAATCTGATATGGAGGTCCCCACTCTACTACATCTCAATTTTA